TATAGTGCCTTACTAGACAAACGGGAGGTTTGTACTGCGCCACGCACTGTACTCTCACGATAATAATATGATCATGCGTTTTACGCAGTTCCGTCTAGCGAACATTTGCCTGCTAGGGATTTTCACTGCTTTGCACTTTGCTCCGTGCAAAAGTAGTTTAAATGTTGTCTGATCCCTAAGTTGCGAAATTTCTCACGAAAAATTTCACATATCGGTACGTGAAAGCTGAATTTGAAACCTGCAGGGTGAACATCCTTCCAGAATTTCAACTTCCTGATTTTATGGCTTTCGAGTGATCTTCACGCCAAAGCTTTTATGTGGTCATTCGTGAGACTTCGGCATACCTTGAAACTAAATTTGAGTTTGTGAGGCCTCTTCACAGGCAGAAAACATCCTCCTGAAATTTCTAGCCTCTTAGCTTTTATAATTCCCGAGACAATTTCCTCGTCAAAGTTTTTTTGTTTCCATGCTTGGTACTCGAGTGTGCGGAAAGGCTGATTTTAAATTTGCGAGGACATATATAGGCAGGAATCATTTCCGTAAAAGTTCGGCTTTCTAGCCTTCATGCTTCTCTATAATTTTCCGCGTCAAAACTTTCACTGGGTCGTACGCAGTACCCACACGTAGGGGGACAGTGAGTTTGAGGTTACGGGCTTGGACACTACCGCAAAATTGCTCTCTAGCTTTTATGGTACCCGAGATATTTTCTCCACCAAAATTTTCTCGGAGCTGTATGTGATATCCAAGTACGCGAGAGGGCTGAATTTGTACTTGCGAGGTCGTACTTAGACAGGAGCCATCATCCCAGAACTCCAGCTTCCCCACTTCCATAGTTCCCAAGATAATAATTTTCCCCGCCAGAACCTTCGCGAACTCGTACGCGATATCCAGCGGCAGGGAAAGTCTGAAGTGAAGTTCGGGCATGGGAATACTCCCCTAAATTTCCTATTTCCGAGTTTTTGCGGTTTCCGATTTTAGAGTTGCGAACAAGATGCATCGGACACACACGCACACACATACACTCGTACACATACACGAACGCATACACACAAACGCGCACACTGACAAACCCCTGACAATATGCTTTTTGTGCAGCTGTTGCACAGTACAAAACGCATAATAAAACTAAAGTACGCATGAGACTAACAGGCAACAGTCTGGAAAATACTTTGAGACTCTGTGGCAGTGATATAAATCCAGATTTCAAAATCGTATCAAAATTTCAACCTCAGAGCTCACATTAACCTGCTCTTGTTTATTTTTTACCCGGTAAAAACTTATCTGTTTTTATGCGTTTTTGCATCTTGTGTGAATGCAAAACCCGTAATGTCGAAAGCATTTCTGTGTGTGTGTGTGTTCAGAAACGAACGAACTCTGTCACCCACTTTCAACTCAGTAACGGGGTGAG